TTACAGATTATTTTCTTCACTGGGGAGAGAAGTCTTCAGGTAAGACACAATCAAGGACAGAACAATAGGTGAGAATGACTCTCAGCTTGTTCCCTACTTTATAGGGCCCTAAAGAAAAGATAATGCATTAAGATCTCCAAAATGGCTGGGGAAAACATGGATTATCATTACAGAAAAATAAAAATAAACCTAACACTGGTGCCACTGAGCTAATTCTTAATGAATATATGCAAGTAACTCAAATGCCGTAATAAGACAACGTGAGGTAGTTACGAAAACTAATTGTATTCTTACAATCTCATCTGAAAGTATTCGATTCCTAACACCGATGTTGCAATGCTATTGCAAACTCTCTGCCTGAATACTTAAATAAGTAAACAACAAACAAAAGGTCTCATCTTCAATGCCCCAAGCTATCATCCCAAACTGGCTATAATTAAAAGTGTGAACAGCAAAGCAAGTAACAAACCTGCAAAGTCAAGGTTCTGAGAAATTAATGGGCATCACACCACTGCACCAGTTCAAATTTATCACTCATTATCTCCCCGACTAGCACAGTGCAGTTTCACATATTTGTGCCTCATTCTCGTTCCTCCAAGCCTTTCCTTCCTTTTCTAGATGGCTAATTTTACACAATTACTGCCTCTGACACATTGAGACCTTTTCTCCCTCTTTTCTTCTTCTTGCTGTAAAGCCAGAGACCTACAGAAGCCCCCTGAACCTAAAATATTCCAGGATTTTAGAACGTAAGGATGGATCATTTGAAGTAAGAGAAAAAAAGAAAGCAAATAGTACCTGAATACCCGTTTCTTCAACGTCTTCACTTGCGTTATCTCAAATGGTTAAACGTACTCAAATGCAAAGGCTAAGTCTAAGTACATGTCCACATTAAATACTGATTTTATTAGGATTAAGTTTATCATACTTGTTGAACAGAAATGTTACCCTTATCTTTGCAACATTCTTTAGTGAATGAAAAATGCCTCTTGCTTTTAAAGTTACTTGGAAGTCCTATGCTTTTGGTAACTGGACTTTTACACGAACGATGGAAAAGTATTATATTACGTGAATGCCTTTTCTGTTCTCATACAAATCCCAACCTTTTCTTTAACATCCATACAAAAGAGAGGAAGATACACATGCATGAACACATACACAAAAATACATGCATACTCATCTCTTCCTCCATCCTGCTCAGGAAGGAAAAGAGAAAGAGAAAGAGATAGAGAGAGCGAGACAGAGAAACACACACACAGAGGAGTGTAATGGGGGAGGGGTCACTTTCCATCACAGATTAACACATTTTGCAAAATCTAGCCCATCACCTACAGAGGTGCCATGCTTTTTACACTGTCTCTCTTACAGAAAGACTGTTTGTGCCCACTTATCCCCCAAAACCCCAATGACATTGAAAAAAATACTGCATTGCAGTATTTGCCAGTGCATCGGAGTGTATCCAGTCAGCTGTCCCACAGACAAACAAATGTACATTTTAATGTGTCCAGGCATGTAAATTAGTTGTCTAGTGGACACAGATTGCTGAAACAGACAAGTGGATTTGTCAAGTTATGTGCATCTCCCTCTCTCTCACTACAAAATTCTCCACCACTGCCCATTTCTTGCCTGGGGTGTTTGCTGAAATATTTCCAAAGTGCAAGTTACCAAAGAAAACAACAAATTCCCCTGCTAGAATATGGGATGCAATAATGCTTTATTTTACTTTAAAAAAAAAAAAAAAGCTTGGGGTGGAGAGTGGCTATAGGTTATGTACCAAGAGCATGACAATTACACACAGAAAATAACCTGCATTTAACTAATACACTCACAGCATACCAAGTAGGCAGGCTGAAGAAAAATTTCACTGTAACCTAGAAGATATTATTTAAAAAAAATTAATACATTAAATACACGTAAGATTAACGCAACTGGATTTTCTTCAATAGAGTCAAAATATTTAACAGGACCAAATAAAGATGATGAAGACTATTCCAAACCCATTCAAATTGGATTTTTAAATACACCCCTTCTAATTCATTGTAACCATCCTTTGTCACAACAGCTCAGGCTCACTTTGAGAGAGCTCAAAAAGGTAAAATTAATAAAGGGAGAGAAAGCAAAGGAGGCTACCAAGCCAGTCAACAGTGGAGGAGCATCTTTGTATCTAACATGGGAACTTGATTAGCAAAGTAGATGGGAAGAGGATTTTAAACTGATGGCTGCTATCAATGTTGCATCAATACCTAAATGTAACATTTCATTCTTTCTGACTAGTTGTTCATAAAGACAGTTTTTTTTAAATACCATGTCTGAAGACAACTACATTTTCTCCACCTTTCTGTCTGAACAGAAAGAGGTTTTATGTTTTAATCTTTCTTTAGCAGATATGGAAATCTTAATGAAATTTCATTAACTTAGCTATTTTTCTCTATGAGGATCCACAATGCAGTCTTTTACATGCAAAAAAGAGAATGTCACTATGTACGTGCAGGCTATGTTCATTAATATAATCTTAAAACAAAGAAAAGAGGAAGATCGGGGCAGGAACACGTGCGCCATAAACCAAGAAATACATTATTTCTAAATCTTTTTAAAAAAATCCCAAATTGAACAGAAAATGAAAATGTAACTGCTAGCTGATGACTCTTAAAACAAACAATGCAGCTGTGTATAATAAAAGCCCCCCTTATTTATTCTCGTGACTGAGTTAACAGATTTAGAACACAGTATCTCTGTTTTGGGCAGAAGAATTTTTTTTTTTTTTTTCTCTCATGTACAGCTCTACAATATATGTCAGAATACAGCTGTGTGCACATGCACAAACTATAAGATACACAATTTTACACATGCACACACATCCTCAAGATTTTTTTCCTTTACAGTGTAAAGCAGTGTAGTTTTCAGAGGGCCATTCAATTACTTCTCTACAGAAAGGATTGCAGCAGAGGCAATACTTAAAACAAAGCAAATTAAAAGGGAGATTTTATTTCTTTTTGCTCATTTTTTAACTTAGCACAAGCACTGCTGTTTGAATTTGCATTCAAAGCAATCCTGCATGAGAGAAAGAAAGAAAGTAAAAATATCTAAAATTGTGGAGACAGAAAGAAAGGCGTGTTCTCCATCCTTGCTTCGCTTCTCTTGTGCCTCCTGATGTGTGATAGATGAGCATTTTCTGGGCAACCACATTTTTATATCTTTTACGCTACCGTCTATCACTTCCTAGCCTACTAGGCTGCTCAACACTTCTAGCATCAATAGCCTTGTTTAAAGCTGCACTTCTGCTATTTCACATTATTCTTCGCCACCATAATAAGAGACCATCACAATTAGCAAAATATTCAGCTGCAGTGTAAAAGTAAAGTTGCCACAAGGAAGCCTGACATGGAAAGTGGTTTTTGCCACAGTAGAGATATAATAGACTGTGGCTAAAGGTGGGGCTGGAGACCAAGAGCAGAATAATCTCATTATTTTTGTAAATTCTGCTCAATGCATAAACTGTAGGATATGATGAACTCCCCTGAACTGATTATTCTGCCATATAACCATCTGATTTTGTAAAAATACCAATATCACTTAACACAAAATCACTGCTTAGGGTAAATTCATTCTACCTACTGTTCTCATAGGGACATTTGCTGGAAAATTCTAAGAAATGATTTGCAGAAGCTATCAGCTGTGGGAGTTCACTATTATACCTCTGTCAACTTCATTCAATACAATTTACATTTTTTTTTTTTTATACTGCCTCACAGGATTCCTTGCAATTTTTTGCACGTACAATTTCACAGCAGGAGAAAAAAAAAAGGGAGGAAAAAAAAAGAAAGATAACCTTCTTTTGCAGAGGAGAAAGAACAGATGCTTAAAAACAGATTTCTAGAAATCACTGTGAGCCTGAGCCAGAAATGTAATTAACACCTATTTATAAAGAATAATTAAAGTTGTGACTGCCACAAAGAACAGCAAAGATAGTCGAGGTAGCCCCTGTTTTTTTTTTTCCTCTTTTTTTTTTTTTTTTTTTAAATACACTGTTTGCAGTATTCCCACATGATTGCCACCTGCTCCCCCACTCAGCTTCCCCTATGCTCGTTTCCCCGGCAACCTTTCATTGGCTTTTCCTCCCAGCTATCGCTTTCAGTTCGGCTGCTCAGTCTAATCTTATTTGTTTTACACCCATCAAAACAAGCAGCTAGACAAAGACAATCCTGTAAGAATGGGAAAAGACCGTCGCTTTGTTTCCCAGTTATAATAAATATCCACGGCAAAAAGTCTGCAAAACGTTAAACGAAGGGAAGGAGCAAGCAGCAGCCCTTGCAGGAGCGCGGCGCATTGTGAAGGTTTTTCCTCCCCCACCCCCACCCTCGAATTGCACTGTTCTGTAAAATTCAAAGTCTCTAATAGTTGTATTTGATCATGCCATTTTGCACAATCTGTAAGGAAGGCATAAAAGAGAAACGAGACGAGCACATTCCGATTTCTCTGCCAGGAGAATATTCTAAAAATAGAAATACTATTTTCACATAAATGGCTTTGACTTCTCTTTTTATTTAAAAAAAAAAAAAAGAAAGAAAGAAAAACAAAACAACTCCCTCCCCCCCCACCCAACACAAAAAAACACACCCTTCTATCCACTACAGCACCTCCTCGATAAGAAACATAATACCTAAATTTTAGAGGTGATTATTAGATTTGTATTTAACACTGGTGTAATACAAATGAAGATTAAAAGGCATCATCTGCTGCCTGATCCGATCGGCATATACAGTACAATGACATTGTGCCTGTCAGCAGAGACCATCCTTGCTTCACTGAAATGCAACGTTCAATGCAAACAGCGTGAAGTGCCATCACAGTTAGATACGTTAAATATATATATATATATCTCGTAAAAATAAACAAGGATCTGCAATTTTATTTATGACTCGCAATCTGCTACCCGAAACAAAAGAAATTCATGAGGCACACAGAAGCTACACAAAA